AAAAAAAAAAAAAAAAAAGAAAAGAAAATTTTACAACTACCACTCTTAATAAGCATAAAAATATCAAATATCTAGAAATACACAATAAAAGATGAGCAGGAATTTTACCTAAAAATACCTCAAAACAATACTAATATCAAATACCTATTAAGAAATATATGTGTACATGGCTTGAAAGATATCACTGTTAAGATGTCAACTCTCCCCAAATTGACCTATAAATTCAAAATAATCCCATCAACATTCCAGCAACCATTTTATAGAAATCAACAAGCTGATTTAAAACTAATATGAAAATCCAAAGGACTTAGAAGATCTAAAATAATTCTGACGAGTAAGAATACTACCTAAAGACTTACTGTCTGTCCTAAGGTAATTAAGACAATGTACTATCTGCATAACAACAAACAGATCAGAGAAACAGAAAGTCCAGAAATAAATTTATAAGTATATGTAAGTATACTTGATTTTACAACAGAGGTGCCACAGAACTCAGTAGGGGAGTAAATGTTATTTTAAACAGATGGCCCTGGACTAATAAGATATTCACAGGGGTAAAAACAGGAGAGTCTATCTTTGGTCTTGGGAATGCCTTGGGAAAGGCGTAGATTCTTTTAACAGACCAGAAAAAGCACTAGCAATGAAATTTAAAATTAAGAAAATGAGCCAGAAGTGGGGTGCATGTCTATAATCTCAGCACACTGGGAGGCTGAGACAGGAAGATATCAAATTGAAGCCCGGACTGGGCAACTTAGTGATTTAGTGAGACCAAACAATAAAAAAGAACTAGGAATATAGCTCAGTGTAAACAGCCTGAGTTACATCCCCAGTGCTGTAAAAATGAATAAACAAATTTGAGAAAATGAACATGAAAACAAAACTCTTGCTTATCAGAAAGAGTTCATTATTAAAGAACCCATGGATTAAAGGGAAAAAAATACATGTGTTTGAAAAAGGATTCACAAGCAGAATATATAAGGAATTTTAAAACTATAATCCTTTTTTTTTTTAATAGTACTGGTGATTGAACCCAGAGTCTTCTCACTGAACTACATCCCCAGCTTTTTTGAGACAGGAGCTTGCTAAATTGCGCAGGCTGGGCTTGAACTTATGATCTTCCTATGTCAGCCCCTCAGAATGCTGGGATCATAGTTATTTGCCACCATGCCTGGCCTAATCCAAATTTTTAAATGAGTAAAGGACTTGAACAGACATTTAGCAAAAGAAGCTACAAATGATCCAAAAAGCAAGTAACTGTGATGAACTATTATTACGTTATTACTCAGTAGCAGTAATCATCACTGAAATGCCAATTAAAACCATAATGAAATTTCACACACAGTAGAATGATTAAAAATAAAAATCTGATAATGCCAAGTGTCAGAGAGAATGTGAAGCAATCTGAAATCCCACACTTTGCTAAGAGCACAAAATCATACAACCATTCCTGAAAACAGCTTGGCTGGCTGGTTCCAATAAAAATGAACATGTAACTACCCTAAGAGGTACAATTCTAAAAATAAACTCAAATTATCAAAACGTATGCTAACAAAATTATCTGTAGTATTTTATTAATAAGTCCAAAATGGAGACAATTTAAATGCCTACAACAGGAGAAAAGATATACTCATAAAATTAAAAGAATGATGTACGTAGAATGGATGAATTTTGAAAACTGTAAATAAAAAAAGTCAGACACAGAGAATGCATACTATATGATTTCATTCATACAAAGCTCAAAGAAAAGGCAAAAGTAATATACAGTGAAAGAAGCCAAAAAGTGGTTATCCCCAAGATGCAGCGGAGAGAGAAAAGAGAACTCTTTCTGGGATGATAAAAAATGTTCTATATTTTGATTTGGAAGGTGGTAAATTGGGTATATACACATTTATCAAAACTTGAGTTCTGTACATTTTACCAGTGGCAAGTCATAACCCAGCAATGAAAACAATAATATGTATTCCTTAAAAATAGAGATAAACAAAAAATTCTGAGGAAAATGTAATAGACCGGGAAAAGATGCTTTTCTTCCCCAAGAAAAGAATATAAAGATAATGGCATTTATGCAACAACAACATAGTATTAAACATCACAATTTGAACCCAAAAATCTTTTCCAATTGTCTTACGATCTATTCAGTAAACTTTGGGTAAGCTAAGAAATATGATATGCCAGACTCTAGAGGGCTCAAGACCTCATCTAGATGAAGGATCATTGCCTTAACAGAGCCCTTGACGATATCTGGACTAAATTATTTAAATAGATTTCCATCCTTCTTCCATATAGTTAACTTCCTAAAATACAAACACATTGTTCTTCCTCCACTTAAAATACTTTAATGGCTTTCCATATAATAATATGGAGGCCTATAATAGTGGCCTCTAAAGCTTTATAATCATGCATTTCTCAGCAAAAAAACCTTTGAGAATATACCTTCATATATGTATATTTTTATTTCTAAGTTGTGTATTACTGTATCAAAACATTATGTATATTGTAAAGCAAAAAAAACCCCTGGACTTTAAGGATATAAGAATGTAATATAATTACAAGCACCTCAAAGAAAGCC